ATATGCATGCTTATACTTTTCAGAGGTACAATCCTTGTTTTATTGATTGCATGTAATATTCTAATTTTCTGAGATGGTGATTTGGGGGTTTCATGAGTTGTAAGCCATAATCACCACAATTATGACAAATCACGGCTTGAACTATCTTGCTTAGCATGTAATGAGTCTTATCTCATATATTAGTTTCACCTTTTAAGTTGCATTACTGAAATAAATGAACTTTTGCACGATATTTTAATTTTTCGAGTTTCACCTGGAGAATATTTAGATCTAACGTAATACATTCTCTTTATATTTGGCAATCTTCTATAGAACAGGAGGGCATCAATCACAGCATGTTTGTCTCCACATGGATGCATCTGTGTTCATGAGGAAGGGATTTGATTTTTGTTTTTATTTTTTTTGCTGAAGTAAAGATGTCCTTTTTGCTAACCCTGAAACTTTTGCTCAGCTTATTTATATATGTAAAATAATTGGAGGGAAGGGAAAGAGAATTATCCAAATATAAATTATTTTCACATATTTCTAATAGAAAGAAGATAGAAAGAAGTAAGAAATCAATAACAAGTTTATTTATCAGGATAAAATTTGCATATAATAAAAAGACATTTAGAAAAAATTATTACCCCTGCCCTCTCTTAGAAATAAAGGTACATACATATATGCAGACACATATAGAATGTTTAAAAGAATTCACTGATTTTTTAAAAAGGGAAATCATGATAAATTCCTCAGCACTTCTGTCAAAGTCAGGGTGCTCCTAGGAAATGTCCCAATGAGACTTTTTTGTTCATTTTTTGAACCAACTCATTTTAATTGATGATTTAAATAAAGATCCACTTTCAAAAGCAAGGACTTTGAGACAGAATGTTTTATTCAAGCCTCCCCCCTGCCCTGCGTACTTCCAGGTGTGTTCAAACTACAAGATGCTAACTGGGAATTCTGGGAATTGTAGTATCAACAAATATAGAATCTTCCTGGCTAAGAAAAGCTGTTTATTAGGAAGAGTCTGAAGAGTCAGCTGTTCACAATGAAAAATAGAAAACTATCAATAGTTATAGCAATAGCACGTATGTACCGCTTCACAGAGCTTTACAGCCCTCTCTAAGCGGTTTACAGAGTCAGCATATTGCCCCCAACAATCTGGGTCCTCATTTTACCCACCCTGTAAGGATGGAAGGCTGAGTCAACCTTGAGCCTGGTGAGATTCGATCTGCCAAACTGCTGGNGAGCCGGTGAGATTTGAACAGCCGAACTGCAGAATTGCAGTCAGCTGAAGTAGCCTGCAGTGCTGCATTTAACCACTGCGCCACCTCGGCTCTAAAAAGATTAAAGGCAAAAGGAGAAGGGGACAACAGAGAATGAAATGATTAGATAATGTCATCGACACAGTGAACATTAATTTGGGCAAACTCTGGGAAATAGTGGAAGACCTGGTATGGCAGTGATAGCTAACCTTTTTCTCCTCACGTGTCAAAATCGCATGCATGTGCATGACAGCCCACACCCATAAGGCAATGCACCCCATCCCCTGCTCATGCATGCATGACACCTCTCTGCCTCATTTTGGGCCTAGCAGGCCTCCCTGAAACCTCCTGGGACCAAAATGGGCCTCAGGGGGGGGAGCCGCACCCCACCCATGGCTACCCATTTTGGGCCTAGCAGGCCTCCCTGCAGCCTCCTAAAATAAAAAAACAGGGTGCACTGCTCCCCGTACTCCCCTACCCCCATACATGAGACACTCCCCATGCGTGTGCGTACACGTCTCCCGCATGCACGATGGAGACATGAAAATCAGCTGGCTGGCAGGAGGCACACACACATGCACAGTGGAGCTGAGATGGGCGACAGGCTGCATGCCCACAGAGAGGTACCATATGATCCATGGGGTCGGAAGAGTCAGACACGACTTAGCAACTATTGAACCAATAACAATAATATAGCTGGTTGCTTCACTGCTTAACAATTAAACGTTTTAAAGCAGAAGAATTAAAGCAGAGTTTTTTTTATTCATGTGCTTAAGCTTACTTTACTGCTGGAGGTGGCAGAGAGTGACATCATTGGGGTGTTGTCTGCTTTGCATTGTTCCATCACTGAAGTTTCTCTGATTGTTCATATTTCTCTCCTGGTTTAGCTACAATAGCACCTTGCACAACATAAGTAAACATGACTTCACTCTGGGAAGTAAATGTGCCTGTTCAGCTTGTGGATCTGCTTTGATAGCCATCTGGCTAAGGATTAAATGATTCAAAGTCCAGGATGCTTGGAAGAACCAGCTTGGATAGGTGAAACTCGAAAAAGTCCACAGTCCTGTTGCTCAGTGGTCCAAAGTCCTCTTTTCTGATGAGAGCAACTTTTGCATCTCATT